ACTCGAATGACATCTCTCGCAGGCCACGCCCCGCGCACCTGTGCGCCAGGTTCTGCTGGAGAGAGCGGAGCTGAGTGCGTTTGTTCCGCGTCTTTTACGATTATTTTCTGTTTTTCCTTTATTTGAATATAGATAAAATTTAACTCATGTAATTATGTAGTCTAAACCTCGCAGGAAAAAGTGATAAAAATCTATCTTGCAACGAATACTTGTTAGTTTTAATGGTCTTTAAATTCTGTATTTGTTTGTCTTCGGGCAGGACATGTTTGGCTCAGCTGCTGCAATTATCCAAGTAAGTATAAACGTTTTACTCATTTCTTTACACGTATTTCTTTGAAATGTTTTCTGCGCTATGAAACACTGTTTGCTACTAAGCAACCTTGGTTTAAAATATCTTTAAATAATCGTCTAAATACTTGTGTTCTTGTGTTTCCAGTTCGGTGTCTGCGGGCAGGACATACTTGGCTCAGCTGGTGGAATTATCGATGTAAGTATAAACCTTTTTATTCGTTTACACGTATCATTTGTTGTTGGAAATGTGATACACCTTGTCAAAAAAAGACTCAAACTAGGAGATACTAGATTTCTCCCGGGCAGGAATGGTTTTGACCCGACAAAATTGTAGGCCTGCTATTTATAGAACTCGTTTTCTGCTAAACTACGATACATTTCGGGTTTTTTGCTGCGTCTAATAGATTATTCAGAAACCGTTTTGGCTTCCAAATTGCATCACGACAATTAAAACAACGGAGCCTATAAAGATATGGATTAACTTTGTATGTTAAATTAATTGTTGCAGAAAACGAATATGCTAATCGCCACACTCTAGCTGTATTGTTTCAGTATTTGCACTTTAAATGTACCTGTTACAACAGGCTAATCGCTTTATTGCATCTGTAAATCTTTTCAAACTGTTTCGTCCTTTGAGCGCAAGAATCGATTCAGAAAATCTATCTGTCTGGGATAATTTCGAGATCCTGTTTGTAACCGAAAGTTAATTCTGATTTCTGTTGTGTTACAGGAATTGCAACGAAGTTCCAGTCTTCATTCCGGTCGCTGCCTCGACAGAAGCCTCGGTGAAACAGTAACGTGCTGTATGTTTCTGTTTTAACATGTAGTTGCTTGCAAATGTTTTCTTACTCTGTTGACTTGTAACAGTATTTGGCGTTAATGTTTGTCGTGCTTTTACACTTTGTAATTGAAATCCGTGTTAATTTTCACTTCGAAGCTTGTGCATCCGACGTATTGTAATGCTTTGTTTTGTGTGCCATATTCGTTCAATAAATTGTTGATTGAAACTTGATTTTGTTCCTTCATTTCTTGTGCAGAGTTCTGTTCCCCCCTTGGCCCTGAAAAACCCCGATGGTGGTGAGTTTTTTGGCGGAGAGATTTTGCTAATAGTTTGTGGCCGCAAGGGGACACCCTATCGCTTTTTGACTTGAAAAGGTCAAAGGCTACCCCCTTTTTAAGCGTGTCCAGATTTTCCCGCCAAAAAACTTAGTATCTGGGGTTT